ATGGATTTACATGTATTCCCCATCCCAGTCCCCCCTCCCACCTCCCTCTCCACCCGATCCCTCTGGGTCTTCCCAGTGCACCAGGCCCGAGCACTTGTCTCATGTACCAAACCTGAGCTGGTTATCCGTTTCACCCTAGATAATATACATGTTTCAATGCTGTTCTCCTGAAACATCCCACCCTCTCCTTCTCCCAGAGTCCACAAGTCTGTTCCATACATCTGAGTCTCTTTTTCTGTTTTGCATATAGGGTTATCGTTACCATCTTTCTAAAGTCCATATATATGCGTTAGTATACTGTAACGTTCTTTATCTTTCTGGCTTACTTCGCTCTGTATAATGGGCTCCAGTTTCATCCATCTCATTAGAACTGATTCAAATGAATTCTTTTTAATGGCTGAGTAATATTCCATGGTGTATATGTACCACAGCTTCCTCATCCATTCGTCTGCTGATGGGCATCTGGGTTGCTTCCATGTCCTGGCTATTATAAACAGTGCTGCGATGAACATTGGGGTGCATGTGGCTGCATAGTTTCATTCAAAATACAGATGTCCAAATATTAGTAAACTAATGTGAATGTAAATATCACCTCCATGACAAACTGGCATAATTCATGTAATTTAGTTAGCAGGTTCCATTAGACCATATTAGTGATATGGAATTTAAAAGAACTCTAAGGATTATAGATTTATCGAAATCCCAAAGGGGTATTGTTTACCAAGTACCATAAGATATGATTAAATGTGTGTTTTGTGAAAATAGATCATCTTGGACCGCGAGTGAGGGAATGATTATTTTGTGGGATATTTCCAATTTTCTTTTCACTGATCATAAATAATATGATATCTAAAAAATATCAGACCTCTCCAGTTGGTTTCTGATGGGAATTAAGCTCTAACCTATGAGAGTGCAATGGGAATTTCTGAACTTGAATCAGGGCCAACAATCCTACAGTTACACAGAAATAGTGAATCTGTGGTAGCAATTTAAACAATATCTTTTGAATGTCTGTTTATTAATAATCACAACCCTTTTCATTTTGCATATTATTTTAAAGACTCCCCATATGGGATTCCATAAAAGCACAGAGCTGTTCAGGCTTCCCAGGTGGTAAAGAACCTGCCTGCCCTTGCAGGAGACATAAAACACATGGGTTTGATCTCTGGGTTGGAAAGATCCCCTGCAGGAGGGCATGGCAACCCACTCCAATATTCTTGCCTAGAAAATCCCATGGACAGAGGAACCTCTCTGGTGGGCTGTAGTCCATGGGGTCTCAGAGAGTTGGACACGACTGAAGCAACTAAACATGTGCACACAGGGCTGGTCTAAGGCCTCAATCCACACATTCAGTTATTTTCACACGTAACTTATGTAAGCACTTTCTTTGGGTGATGTGTTTCCTGCTCTCAGATGTCTATAAACTCTGTGTAAGACTTAATTAACATTAAGCTGAAAGGTTCACATTCTTCATTTCATGCTGATCTGCTCAAATAACAAACACCATTGGGTACTTTTGTATGTGGAAAAATGTTTTTGATTGTTTAATAATCTACAATCATTTAATAAAAGTCAGTTTAATCTGTTAAAGTTTTATACTGAGATTAATAAAATAAAAGCTTAAATCAAATAAAGCAAGTGAAAGTAAAACTTTAGTTGGACACCTTAATCTGTGAAAGGAAAATTGCTCTCCTGTGGAAATGATGAATAAAATCCTGTGTGCCAATGATATAAATCTTCATGCAAACAAAATTGATAATTATCAATCTCCAAGTACTTAAAATTGTACCTCTCTCAGATCATGGCTGGGTGTGTAATACATATTATGGCTGAGAATCTCCTGTTTAATTTTTATTATGAGGCAGCTTAAGAATTTGGTATGAGAAATGCATCATTAGAATATATTCAAACTCACATCTGCCAATTTCATAAACATGTTGAAACTGTTATATCATCCTAAATCATTTGAAGCAAACATCTTTAGTTTTAGTAAATACTGTATCTTTTAAAAACGGATTCAGTGAACATTTTTAATATTTTTTAAGCAAAAGTATATCAATACTTCATTTCTCTTTATCAATGTTTTCACCTAGGGTGGGGGAGAAAAGCATCCGATATACCAACACTGCATTAAATCAGTGGATAGATATTTTGATTCTTAGGTTGTTTACTTCCTGATTCTACAAATTCTGACCCTATGATCAGGTGAGACACTTACCTTCCTCGTGTGAATCCAAATCCATTCTAGACACTGTGAAAACAGATATATGATTAATAAATCTTGAAATAAATATATGAAAATACAAAATGTTTTCTTCTTACTGAAAACTAAGTAGCCACGAGGCAGATCTTGAAAGTGAGAGAGATAGGGTCTTTAAATGGTTAAAGCATTCAAAAAACCTGACTGATTATGTTAGAAAGTGGATAGTCAGGGTCACTCTCCTATTTTTTCTTTGTGTATGCTAGAAAAAGGCACTCTCTTTTGGCAAATTCCATGGACTTCTGGCTTGAAAAGTAGATGGCACCATGGTATAAATTCTTTTTTTTAAGAGTGTCTTTCTCTGGGTAGATGAAGTCCCTTGTTAGGATACAAGAAGATTGTAGTCTATATCATAGTCCCTCTTCCCTCCTTGGCCAAGAGTCCTGGACAGTAAATACTCTGTGCAACCATTTATGGTGGTCCTATGAGTGGTGGAGAAGAGTTTAGTTTTAGAGGGATGGAAGAGTTATTAGGAAAATATTTTCCAAAATGTTGTCAGCATCCGCTGTCTTCAGCACTATAACTGTTAAGGCTCTTGCATTTAAAGTAACAGCAACTGACTTTGGTTAATACAGGCAATATTTATTGGAATAATATATGATACTTCACAGTATGAAAGAGAAAAAATTAATGAACTTTTGAAGAGGTAAAAATCAGGGCATTTCATAGATCAAGGTAGTAGGAACAAACTGGGTCTCTTATGACCTAGAGTAGTGTTTCTCAGTTCTCACTGAAATTCACAATATCCTTGGCAATTTAAAAAATCTTGATGCTCAGACCACATTCCAGACCAGTTAAATCAGGGTCTCTTGGCTGGACACAGGCATTAGTAAGTTTTAAAATTGCTGAGGTGAAACATGCTTTACAGTTTCATTTGGGGTGATGAAAGCCAGGTGATTTTAGTTTTTTATGCTGTTACATTTAAATTATATCTCATTATTGGATGGCATCTCTAACTCAATGGACATGAATTTGAGCAAACTCTGGAAGACAGTGAAGAACAGAGAAGCCTGGCATCCTGCAGTTCATGGGGTAGCAGAGAATCAGACATGACTGAGTGACTGAACAGCAACAAATACCATTATACTTAAACTTTGAATTCTGAGTTTGGGGTGGAAGAGAATCTTATTGTTCAAGTTTGGGTTTCATACCCACCACTTCTTAGACAGGAAAGGCAGAGGTAACCTGAACAACAGAAGACCCTGCTGTGTGTAAAGGGTCTGGAAAATAGAATCAGAAGGAATGGAGTCTGAGTATACAAAACCAACTACAGTCTCCTATGGCTGCTGCTGATGCTGCTGCTGCTAAGTCGCTTCAGTCGTGTCCGACTCTGTGCGACCCCATAGACGGCAGCCCACCAGGCTCGGCCGTCCCTGGGATTCTCCAGGCAAGAACACTGGAGTGGGTTGCCATTTCCTTCTCCAATGCATGAAAGTGAAAAGTGAAAGTGAAGTCGCTCAGTCGTGTCCGACTCTTAGCGACCCCATGGACTGCAGCCCACCAGGCTCCTCCTTCCATGGGATTTTCCAGGCAAGAGCACTGGAGTGGGTTGCCATTACCTTCTTCAAAAGGGTCTGGAAAATAGAATCAGAAGGAATGGAGGCTGAGTATACAAAACCAACTGCAGTCTCCTATGGCTAGCTTTGTAATTAAGTTATATATTGAACAAGAGAGAAGAGCAATTGGAAAATTCTTTCATTTACAGGGCTTTCAGATTTTCCTATCTCTTCTTAAGGATTATGTTGGGATTTTTCCTTTTTTTTCTAGGATGGTTGCTACTGTTACTGTAAATAGTAATGTTGTAGGAAGGGGGACCCCCTTCTAGGGCCTGAAGTTGGGCTCTTGTCTAACACTCGGAAAAGAATTGTCCAAGGAGACACGTGCTGACAAAGCAAGAGATTTTATTGGGAAAGGGCACCCAGGTGGAGAGCAGGAGGGTAAGGGAATCCAGGAGAACTGCTCTGCTGTGTGGCTCACAGTCTTGGGTTTTATGGTGATGGGATTAGTTTCCAGGTGGTCTTTGGCCAATCATTTTAATTCAGAGTCTTTCTTGGTGGCGCACGCATCACTCAGCCAAGATGGATGCTAGCGAGAGGGATTCTGGGAAGTGGACGGACAGGTAGTGTCTCCTCTCGACCTTTCCCGAACTCTTCCGGCTGGTGGTGGCTTATCCTTATCAGGATCTCCTGCCATAAAACAACTCATGCAAATGGTTACTACGGTGCCTGGCCAGGGTGGGCGGTTTCAATCAGTGTGCTTCCCCTAACAACTCCCCCCGAGAGACTTTATACTCAAGATGCTTCTTGGGAATTGGGGCGGAGGTCTCTTTTTTCTGTAACTTCTTCCTGCTGTGCCTGGGCATAGGCCTGCCTAGCAGAGCAGAAGTCTCTCTCTACCTGATCTAAGTTGGGGTGTTTTATATTTGAAACCAGCTCCCACCCTTGTAGTAACATCAATTTGGCCTGGAACTGCTAGAGATAAACTTTGTAAGGAGTTGGAGTATACAGGGGCCAAATAGGAGGCCTAATAGGATAGTTACCCATGAATGGTAAGAGCCAAGAAGGGAAAGGAGAACTCCATACACCTGTTGAACTTAAATCCCAGATCTTTGTAGCCTGTTCCAAAAGCCTCTTGATATCTTCTTGGACCTGCCCAGACTGGTTATAATAAAAACAGCATTCTTCCTTTAGATATAGACAAGTGCCTCCCTGTCCTGCAGTCAGTAAGTCTAGGGCCCGACGATTTTGTAGGACCATTGTGGCTAGGGAGTCTAACTGGGATTGTAGGCGTTGGAGGGTCCTCGCTGTTTTTTCTATGGATACAGCAGTGTCGGTAGAAAGCTGCTNAAAAAAAAAAAAAAAAAAAAAAAAAAAAAAAAAAAAAAAAAAAAAAAAAAAAAAAAAAAAAAAAAAAAAAAAAAAAAAAAAAAAAAAAAAAAAAAAAAAAAAAAAAAAAAAAAAAAAAAAAAAAAAAAAAAAAAAAAAAAAAAAAAAAAAAAAAAAAAAAAAAAAAAAAAAGAATAGCTGTCCTCTGGCTTTGGAGTCTCAGTTTTTGTCTCCCCCTCCTGTAGGCCATAGGGTTTTATTCTAGAATTGTGGACCCAGGCAGATAGACCCTTCACTTTTACAACAGTTGAAGTCACTAGGACAACCTGATATGGCCCTGTCCATTTCTCGGACAGCTGGTTTGGACTCCCTTTTTCTTTCCAGGTCTTTACTAATACTTGATCCCCTGGCTCTACCTGGGGGTTTTTCCAAGTCTTCCTGTGGTTTAGGGAGGATCTGTTCTCTATACCGTTGGAGTTTTTGTTGAAACCTTCTCAGGTCAATTATATGTTTTAAGAGTGTATTGGCATCTTCATCAAAAAACAAATCAGAAGTTAAGAATGGACATCCATACATCATTTCATAAGGACTTAACAATAGTGGCCATTTGGGGGATGTCCGTACCCTCATGAGGGCTATGGGTAGCATATGTGTCCACTTATTATGTGTTTCTTGACATAGCTTAGCCAGAGCCCTTTTAAGAGTCTGGTTGGCGCTCTCTACCTTTCCTGAAGCTTGAGGCCTCCAGGATGAGTGGAGCCGGTATTTTATGCCTAAGCATGCGGCTAGGTTCTGGGATATCGTGGCTGTAAATGAGGGCCCATTGTCACTCTGAAGTGACTGAGGCAGCCCAAACCTAGGCACTATCTCCTTCAGCAGAGCTTTACAGACTTCTGTAGCTCTCTCTGTCTTAGTAGGGAATGCTTCGATCCATCCTGTGAATGTGTCAATGAAGACTAGCAAATAAGAAAACCCTTGGGTCTTTGGCATGGCTGTAAAATCTACTTGCCAGTCTTCTCTTGGGTATGATCCCTGATGTTGGACAGGTTTAATTAGAGGAGATGGCAAGGGTCTGGTTTTTGGATTATTTCTTAGACAGGTGTCACGATTCTGTGTGACTTGTCTAACAACCTTAGCTAACTGGGGATGGTAGAGAATAGACTTAAGCAAGATTTTTAGATTATCTCTTCCAAAATGGATGCTCTTATGTAAGGAGTTAGTAATTTTCCAAACCTGAGAATCAGGGAGTATTATTTGGGCCTGATCAGTCTGAAACCACCCATGTGACCCAATCTCCCAGCCCCGCTCAGCATATCGGGAATGTTCCTCTGGGGTATAATCTGGAGTCAGGGTTTCCTTGGGGAAAAGGGGACAGATAGCAGTGGCAGAGGTAGCTTCCCTGGCAGCTCGTCTTGTCTCTTGATCAGCTTTCCTATTTCCCTGGGCCTCTTTTTTTCGCCCCTTTTGGTGACTCTTGCAGTGGATGACAGCTAATTTTGCAGGAAGTTTGACTGCCTCCAGGAGCCTGAGAATGAGCTCTTTGTGTTTAATAGGAGAGCTTCGGGCACTGAGCATCCCTCTTTCTTTTCAAATTGTTGCATGGGCATGCAGAATGAGGAAAGCATACTTAGAGTCCGTGTACACATTAATCCTCTTTTCTTTTCCTAACTCCAAAGCTCTTGTCAGGGCAAAAAGTTCAGCTTTCTGGGCTGAGGTTTCTGGGGGAAGAGACACACTTTCCTTAGTTTCTTCTAGGCTCACTACAGCATATCCTGCTTTTCTCTCTACTTTTTTTTTTTAATAAAACTGCTGCCATCTGTGTACCAATTTTCCTCTGGGTCAGATAAAGGTGTCTCTGATAGGTCCGGGCGAGAAGAGTATAACTCGTCTATGATTTGTATGCATTGGTGATCCAGAGGGGAAGTAGGGGGATCTGGCAGTAAGGTTGCTGGATTTAAAGTCTGGCAGACCCTCAACTTTATTTTTGGAGTGTCAAGGAGGAGGGCTTGGTATTGGGTGATCCTTCCCCCTGTCATCCACCTGTCCCCTTTAGTTTCCAAGACTGCTTGCACCTGGTGAGGCATAAACACTGTGGTGGGCTGACCCAGGGTCAGCTTAGATGCCTCTTTAACCATAAGAGCGGTGGCTGCTACTGCCCGGAGGCAAGTGGGCCACCCTCTGGCCACCTCATCTAGTTGTTTTGAGAGATAAGCCACGGGTTGTAATACAGGCCCCATCATCTGCCCTAACATCTCAAGAGCAGTTCTTATCTTTTCAGAAACAGAGTCTAAAAGGCTTCTCCAGGTTTGGGAGGTCTAAAGCTGGGGCTGTAGTGATAGACTCTTTTAGGGCATTAAAGGCCACCTTGCAGGTCTCATCCCAGTTGAGTGGCTCTTCCTCTTTCCCCCTTAACTTTTCATATAGGGGTCTGGCCAGATTGCCATAATTAGGAATCTAGATCCTGCAAAACCCAGTCATTCATAAAAATCCTCTAAGCTGTTTTTTTGTTTGGGGGTACGGGGTATTTAAGATGAGGGATTTCTTCTCGGGGTCAAGCATTCTTTTTCTTTCCATAATTATAAATCCAAGGTATTTTACTTGGGTTAAGCTAATCTGAGCCTTTTTGGGGGATACTCGATAACCCTTTTCATATAGGAAATTTAGAGTTTTAATGGTGTCCATTTGAGAGCTGGTAAAATCTGGACTAGCTATGAGCAAGTCATCAACATACTGTATTAGACTACTGTTTGTTAAAGTTAATTCCCTTAGTTCTCTCCCCAAGGAAGTCCCAAAGATATGAGGGCTATCCCTAAACCCTTGTGGTAGTCGAGTCCAGCAGAGTTGTATGGTCTCTCTTGTTTCCAAGTCCCGCCACTCAAAAGCAAAGAGTTTTTGGGATTCAGGATGGAAAGGAATGCAAAAGAAAGCATCTTTATGATCCAAGACTGAGAAGTACTTGGCATTTTCTGGGACTTGGGATAGGAGGGTATACGGGTTTGGGACTATGGGGTGGATGGGAACCACAGCTTCATTAACAGCTCTTAGATCCTGGACGAATCGATAAGATCCATCAGGTTTTTTAATGGGCAAGATTGGAGTATTGCAGGGGGACTCACAGCTGATTAGAATTCTAGTATCTCAGTATTTGTTAACTAATGGTCTAAGAGCCTCAAGAGCTTCTGGTTTTAAGGGATATTGTCTTTTCCAGGGGTAGGGAGCATTTGGCTTCAGAGAAATCTTTACCGGTGGAACATTTACAGCTAAACCAGGACTGGAGACATCCCACACCTGGGGATTGACCTCATCTAGGAAAGGGACAGACTCCTCTTTTTCTACCTCTGACTGTAAATATTCAGACACTAGGCAAAGAAAATTATCGATTTTTACCTTTTCCCATGTCACTCTGGTTTGGAGGCGGCAAAGAAGGTCTCTCCCCAGTAGGGGAGCAGGGCAACCAGGGATGTATAAGAAGGGGTGGGTTCCTTGCCAATTTCCCACCTTACAATGGAGGGGCTTAGTAAAATTCCAGCTTTGGGGTTTTCCGTCTACCCCTGTCACCATTTTAGTCTGGGAGTCTAAAGGTCCTAATCGGAAAGGAAGAACGGAGAAGGCAGCCCCCGTGTCTAAAAGAAAGTTCACATCCTTACCTTCTATTTGTAGAGTCACCCAAGGGTCGAGAGGAGTGATCTGGATCTCACCATTCGCGGGGGTTTCTCGAGCCGCTGGGCACCGTCAGTCCCGGTCGCCCAGAACTAACACAGAGGGAGCAGGTGTAGGGGTCGCCATATGCCTTCCCTTAGGGCGATATGGACACCCCCTTTTCCAATGCCCATCCTCTCTGAAGTAGGCACACTGGGTGCCGCTCAGCCGCGGTGGATTGTTAAGATCTTTTTTTCTTCCTTGCTCTCCCCGGGACTCTCGCATAGTGGCAGGATGAATCAAGGCCAGGATTTTAACCTGTTGTTGGGCCAAGGCCTGGGTCTGCCTCTCTATTCTCCTATCTTTTTGCTCCCTTCTTGCTTCCTCCTCCCGGTCCCTGTTCAAAAACACCCTATTTGCCTCCTCCACCAAATTGGAAATTGGGGTCTCTGGTCCTTTTCCTAGTTTTTGTAATTTTCTCCCTATGTCTGGGGCTGCCTGGGTTATGAAGGAATGGGCCAACAGGACTCGTCCTTCCATACTTGTTAAATCTGTCTTGGTAAAGTTTTTAAAGGCTTCTGTGAGTCTGCCCCAAAAAAAGAGCTGGATTTTCATTCTCTTCCTGTGTAACCTCTTTTATCTTATTATAATTAACAACCTTTCGCACACCCTGGGTCATTCCCTGTAGTAGGCAAGTAATGAGGTGTCTTAAGGATTCTTTTCCTGCCCTTGTATTAGGATCCCAGTCTGGCTCTGTCGAGGGAATTGCCTCTTTGGCAGGAGCCAGACTGACATCTACCCGCTGTCTTTCATCACCCACTTTGCTAGCCTGATCTAGGATTCGAGCTTTTTCCTCATTATTACAACACCGGGTCAGGATGACCGTTATATCCCTCCAGGTGAGGGAGAAGTTAAGGCTAAGACACTCAAATTCATCTTTAAATTTTTGGGGGTTCTCGGAATATGAACCCAATTGTTCCTTGCATTGGGTAATGTCTTGCATAGAGAACGGAACATGAACGTGCATAGTTCCCCCCTCCCCATCTGGTACCTCTCTTAGGGGGCAGATTTTGTCTGAGGATGACCTTTCCTTCTGTAGAGGACAAAGCTTACTTCCTGATCGTAACCCCTTGGGGGAGGGGAGATATATGGAGGAGGAGCCGAGGCGACTGGGAGTGACTCCCCTTCTGATCCCATGACTTCCGGGCCCAGCCTCCTGACTTCTGGACTTGGGCTCTTGACTTCCGGGCGTGTCTGACCCTCCCTTCCTCGTGGCCTCTCTGCTGAAGCAGGGGAGGTCAAGAGAAGGTCAAGGGGATCTTCTGTTTCAGACCTTGCTAAAAGGATTTTGGAAGAATATTTATCAAAGTCCTCAAGCTTATATTTTCCCCTTTTTTCAGAATCCTGGTAGAGGGCCATAAAGACCTGGACGTAGGGAACTTCCTTGTATTTACCCTCACGTTTACAGTATAGACTGAGCTGTAAAATGGTGTTGTGTCCAAGTGATTCTGACTGGGGCCAATTTTCCCCTCAACCCAGGGAGTAAGTAGGCCAGTATTGAGTACAGTATTTGATAAGTTTTTTCTTTTTTAACCCTCCCAGTTGGTATCCCTCCCAGTTGGCCAAAAGACAACCGAGCGGGGTGTCTAGAGGGAAGCTAGGCTTATTTCCCATTTTAGCGATGGTATAGCTTATATCATGTTCCCCAGGGACCAGTGTTGGGGCGGATGCCTCTATATCTGACTCTAGAGAGATTGTAAGCTCTCTCCTGGTCCCAAAGGGCCTGATTGTATAAGCGCCAAAGGAAATATTCGGTAGTAAGCACAATCAACGGGGCTGTAGGGCTGGTCCCAAAAGGTAAATTAACCCCTAAGGATGTATCTAGGGTGTTCATTTTCACCCAAGACCAGGTGCGACTATACTGAACCCCGTCAATCACTTCCACGTGGAAGCACTCAGCCAAATGCTCAATTAAATGGCTGAATTTATAGAAACAGGGCACCCGATGGAGGGCTTTTAATGCCCCATCGTTTCCCCAAGAACAGAAAGCACAATTGATGGGGAGCAGAGGGCGTAGCCTCTATGAAAATCTCTTACAAAGACCCAGAACTTCATGTCCAAGTATTGACAGACGGAGTAAGCGGAAATAACTTGGGTCTTCAAAGAGAGGGAAAAGGGTCATGTTGAGAGAAAAGGAGTGGGACGAGACAGAAGGTCTAGGAGTGGGGGAGAGAAAGAGAACAAAAAGGGGTGGCCTTACAGACGTCTCCTGCCACCTGCAGACACCCAGGCGTTACGGGACTTTTCCCTGGGCTTCCAGAGAAGGGAGGACTGGAACTCGGCTCTACCAGAACCAGAATTCGAGTTCTCTGCCAAGAAGAGGTGATCAGTCTCCAATCCTCAGCTTAAGCTGAGGCCCTTTGACCAGATTCCTGCGTCTAGGACCGAGGGACTAGAAAAATAGGATAGGTTGAAAAGAGGGGTGAGAAAAGACAGGTCAACAAAATCTCTTGTTCCTTACCCGGTTGGGGCACCCTGGCCAGTTGTCTGCGTCAGGAGGAGACCAGGGACAAACGAGACCCAGTTGCGGCCGCTGGGTCAGATCCGTCGGCAGGTGAGCTGGTCCTGGAGTACCCCGAGCGGTCTGGATGTCAGCCCCAGTAAAAATGGGGGTGTCCCTTCGTGGTCGCCAGTTGTTGTAGGAAGGGGGAACCCCTTCCAGAGCCTGAAGTTGGGCTCTTGTCTAACACTCAGAAAAGAATTGTCCGAGGAGACACGTGCTGACAAAGCAAGAGATTTTATTGGGAAAGGGCACCCAGGTGGAGAGCAGGAGGGTAAAGGAATCCAGGAGAACTGCTCTGCCGCGTGGCTCGCAGTCTTGGGTTTTATGGTGATCAGATTAGTTTCCAGGTGGTCTTTGGCCAATCATTCTAGTT